CATTCATTCCTGCCTGTGGCAGGGGGTCAGGCTAGATGATCTCTTCAGGTCCCTCCTGACCCTAGCTACTATGATACTATGAGGTGGAACAGAGAAAAAAGTAAGTGGAAAAGAGTGAAAATCTTTTGGGTGAAACAAGATGAAGGTGTTTGGGGGCAGTTTTCCAAGAGTGAATGAGATCTCTAAAAAACATGAAAGAACATATAGTGATAAAACAAGTCAAAATTAACAAAGGCATCTGGTGTACAACAGTTCAGATACATGAAGTGTGAAGGCATGCCAAGCAACACCTTCCCCTCCAGAAGTAGATCTCATTAGCCAAGCCAAAAGGAACACACATACAGCCTTCAAATCCACCAGGGCTAGGAGGTGAAGTCTGCTGGGTACTTCGCTGATGTGGATGCAGACGGATTAGTATCAGACAAGTACATAAGGAGCAAACTAGTTTACCAACCAAAATATTGTCAGTAAGCATAGAGCCATGGAAGACTATTTGGGTGATATGTAAGACTGACTCACAAAATGCAACTCATCTGGATTTAAAAAATATATCATTTTTGAGTTTCTCTGCTTTAAATCGCAGTACTTGTCCAATACTGATCCCTCTGCATTTTAAGTTTTCCTGCTAGAGCACATGAAGGACAAGCCTGGCCCAATGGTGCATAGACCAGGAACCGCATGCCATCAGGCTGGGCAGGAAGCCATACATGGAGATAGGGAGCTGTGCACCATCAGGTTGGGTGGGCTCCACTCCTCCACATGGGGCTTTCAGCACTACTCCAGCAGAAAGCCGCATGAGGAGGCAAACAGGAGCCTGCCCAGCACGACGGCACAATTCCGTGCCTCCATGTGTGGCTTCCCACCTGGCCCAATGGTGTGCCATTTCCAATCCACACACCATTAGGCTGGGCCAGCTCTCCACATAGAGCTTCCAGCACTCCAGTGGGAAACAGCACATGGAGACATGGAATCAAGCACCATCAGGTCAGGTGAGCTCCTGTTCACCTCCGCATGCAGCTTCCTGCCGGAGTGCTGGAAGCCCCACACAGAGGCATGGAGCCCACCTGACCCAATGGCACATGGCCCATACCCACCCCACAAACCCAACACCCACCTCCCTCTTGGAGGCAGGAGCTCCCCTCCCCACTTATCAGGTGGCTAGTCACACAGCTCTGTGCCTCCACATCATGGAGCTCCCAGCTGGAGTTCAAATTATGCAAAATTATGCAATTATGTGCGGGCATGCCTTTTATGCACAACGTTGCACAGGCACATAATTGCATAGTTCCCCAAGGTGTACTTATATAGTCAACAGTTATATATCTGACAACTGAAGTATGCAGCCTGCATCGAAAAGATACGGCAATATTATCCTCCCTTGGTTATCATTTTGAAATGCATTTAAGTGTTTTGCTCTTAACAAAAGGATATAATAAGGATTTTCTAACAACAGAGAAGCTATACAGGCCTCTTTGATCATTGGACGGGCCATTAGTGCGCGTCGTCTCCAATAGTACTACAGAGGATAAGAA